GGTAATATACATATTCTCTTGGGCCTTATCACTTGCTAATACGGTCTTAAACAAATAGTAAGAGTGATTTTTCGCCACTATTGTACTAGTAAGTACACGTATATTCACATATACAGTTAAAATATTATACGATGTGAACTTTTTGAATCTTTTTTCGCTTCGCAAATAATACATTACCTGCATACTTACTAGTTAATTTTATTTACTAAATATGAAAAACACAACAGCTAATTTACAACGAAGAAATAAAAGCGGTCGTATGGCATTGACACCTTTTTCACTAAATGATTTGAAGAATTCTATGATTGAACAAATAAAAGGTAATTTGGATATCCAGAATACCATTACAAACGTCAATACAACAAATATACAACAAATAATAATGATTGGAATATCATAATCATAGCAACAAAAATCGCTGAAGTTTTATTAGCTCCAGTTATTGAATATTTAAACTCACGTTTGACTGTCGTTGAATCAAAAATGGATGACTTAGAAAGATATCATAGAACACGATCATTAAGATTCTTGGGTTTTGAAGAAGAAAGAAATGAAATTATTCCGAATAAAATCACAAAATTTCTTAATAAAAATTTGAATATAAATTTATGTGAAGATCAACGTGAAAACTGTCATCGTATTGGCAAACGTGTTCGTGGGAAAGGTCGTCCTATTATCGTGCGATTTTATAGTCGTTCACTTCGTCAACAAATACTTCGTGCAACTTATCTGTTAAAACAAAATAAGTCGAATGCATTTATCGTTGAAGATCTCACTCGAAAAAACATTGGAATTATTTCATTCTGTCCGTGCCTCATTGCCTGCTGACAAAATAAAGATCGGTTATAACAAGAAATGGATGAGTTTATCGGAAAAATTCAGATAACACATTAACGCCGATAACCGATTTTATTTGTAGTTGTAAAGACGATGCTAATCAGACATCAACCATTGATACCTGACAACTGTCATATTCATCAAACTCACTACATCAGCAGCATTCTAAAAATGATTGTCTCGTTCAATATGAGAACGGAGGTTGTGATTAGTTGGGGTTTAAAGTCAGTTATTGAATCAAAAGAACTTCACACCATTAGTAAGTTAAATCGTTGTTTTTTTCCTCTCTGAGTTTCTACATTGAGTACTAGTACAATAGTGGCGAAAAATCACTCTTACTATTTGTTTAAGACCGTATTAGCAAGTGATAAGGCCCAAGAGAATATGTATATTACCTATAGTTAATGTGTTCTTTGATGTGTTATATATAAGAG